ACCTAGTGACGGACATCACAGTCTCAGAGGATATACGTTCGCACGCAAGAGTGAAGGTCATGGGTTCGAAACTGATGAATATTAGGAGTTGTGGATGATGAGTACCATACCAGGACGAAACGGCCATTCATTACATTCAGGTTTTTAATGGTGTCGGTCTAACAATAAATTCATTCATGAAATCATTAATAAACAACAATCTCCATAACTGTATAATTGCTTCGTGAGGAAATTCTCGGAGTTCTAGTTGAGAAGACGTGACCAGTGAAGTTCAACCCTGTCGAGTGTAGGCAGTAACTACCAACGATAAATGGGTGAGGTCACGCGAAACCCATAGATCAATCAGAGTTAGACATTAACACCGTTGGATGCTGGTCCAGTGGTCCGATGGTTAGGCGTTCGAGCACAAGACCGAATGTCCTGGGTTCGAATCCTGCGAGCTATAGGAGTCATGGCTGCGCACTGCCAATAATGTGTCCCATTCCAGGGCAAAACGGCCATTCAGTGCTTCGAAATTTCTAGTAGTGATCTAATAATGATTGATTGATGATTTCAAATCTGTAAAACCACTAATCTCCATAACTCTAATTGAAAATTATTATGCTAGAGTCTTGAATTGGTTTTTTTTCTGAGGTTAGCGGTTTAGTTTCCCGCAGGACTGCGGTCAATAACTCCATGCTCTGCTCAACCCTCCTCCTTGGCTACCGTCAGAGCGAACCTAGCATGGAGGTCCCCAGACAGAGTTATGACAATATCATATGACATTTAGTAATTCAACAATCTACTATGAACAATTTTACACCAGAGAAAATGTACCTCTATATTTTACCATGAAAAAAAACGAACAAACCCAAATATATACATGTCAATCATGCCTATAACTTCTGTTACCTACACAAATATTCACTTATAAGTACGAATACGCGCGCGCACACACACGCACACACTACACACATGTACCATATACACACTAGCGTGCACACACACAGACAATTGTCGATGCACAGTTCCACATCGATGCACATGATTTTGAGTTATAATTAACTGATATCAACAATCTTTGTTGTTTTTTTTTCACTCGAAATATTTCAATCTGACAGCAAGTCAGAGTAGTAGTAGTGTGAGTAGTAGTAGCAGTAGTAGTATGTGTGTAAAACTTTGAAAAATGTGCCACAAATTAAACTCGACAAATCATTCGCAAACTATTTATTTTTAATATTTATTGAATTCTAAACTTATTTTATGATATTTCAACATAGTCAATGACGTATCAATTATTATATTATTATTATTATTATTATCGATATGAGATATGCGTAATGAAATTAACAGTGTACTCACAAGTGAGAAGACATGACTAGTGGAGTTCATCTCTGTCGAAAGTAGGCACTAACTACCGTAGACAAATGGTTAAGGTTGCCCAACTTAGGCATTAACACTGTTCGATGCCACCGACTTAGTGTCACAGAGGTTAGGCGTTCGCGAGAAAGACTGAGTTCGATTCCTGCAAGTGGCAGGAGTTGTGGATGAGCATTGCTGATGAGTTCCATGTTAGGACGAAACGGCCATCCAGTATTTCTAGGTTTCTAATGATAGTCTAACAATGATCGATTCCTGATTTCCGTCAGAAATACACTGAGCTGAGATATCTTTGAAAAATGAGCAGAAACCAATTGACATGTAGTGATCTCCTTGCATGAAACTCCTTAAATAATGTCGATCACTGACTCTAGGGGGAATTCTAGACTTTTTGATCTTATGAAGAGTATTTAACAAAATAATCATCTTTAACTGAGATCGACCTGTAATGAATACGTGTTATCGATGTTCGGATATTTATCCAATATACTAAGAGGATTATTTGTAAGTCTGATGCCATTGATCAAATCTCATTGATTAATTCCTACTGGTCAATATTATGGTCGTCCTAACTATCAATGTTACTTCAAATGTAGTTTCCTTTTGATTATCGTAACTGTCAATGTCAAAGACTTCGATGCTGTTTCCCATTCAACCTAACTGTATAAATATACACTATCTGCAACGTTTTATGACCAGAACCTGGACCCGGATGCCTAGTCCGGGATAATGGTTCTCTTTTGGACTCGAACCGCGTACTTTCTGGATGCTTGTATAATACACATTCTACTTCATATCAAGTCTTCTTCTTTTACACGTTCGGGGATTAGAAACAATCGGATTAGAGTAGCGTTTCGTGTCGCTGGATCCTTGATCCTCCCTCTCGTTTTCCGACGAGTTCTAGTGGGAAGACGTGACCAGTGAAGTTCAACCTGTTCGAGTGTAGACAGTAACTACTGAAGGCTGTGTATGAGGTTGCGCAGCTCCGTGAATTGATCGAAGTTAGACATTAACACCGTTAGATTCCAGCTCAGTGATCCAGAAGTTAGACGGTCGAGCGCAAGACCAAAGGTCCCAGATTCGCATCCTGCGAGGTGCAGGAGTCGTGGATGCGCACTGCTGAGGAGTCCCATACCAGGACGAAACGGCGGTCCAAGGCTTCCAGGTTTCTAATGATAGTCTGTCATTGATCGATTCATGGTTTCAAAAAAAACCTAACAATCTTCACAACCCGTCATACAACTTACTATATTTCATAAGAAAATTATAGGCCTTTTTTTTTCTTCTAAAACTATCATTTTTTAAACAACATGTCCGAACTTGAATTCTTGTCTTTTTTTTCCGAAAAATATAAACAAAAACTAATCATACTACTTAAAAATGTGGATTTATTTGTCAATGCCAATTCGTAATTTTCATGTATGTACTTTTCTGGTTAGTTTTACAACAACAAAACAGAAACAATTGAAAAGCTGAAAATGTCAAAATTTTCTAGGCTCTACTTAGACATTGAACAATGAATGACTGAACACGACGCCATCTTCGTCAACATGTCCAACAAGTATCGGCTTTCTAATGGCATGACTACTTTGTAATTCACAAGAACCAGTAAAGACTTGGTGAACTTTGATAATTTACGAAAAAATTAATTCAGAGTTATATCGCCTTGACTGTATACATAGTTGTTTTAGTATGCCAATTTTGCGTATTGACAACTTTGAGCAAGCAAGCAGGCAAGCAAACAGGCAATTTAAAGTACGCTAGTTATGTCCCTGTATAAACCTATTCTTGTTCACAATGACACAATGTTTATATATGACATTGAAGGTAATTTACACAGAGAGAAAAACCTAAGAAACTTGCAAGAAATTGTTGAGTGACAAAAATTAAAACATGATTGTCATACTACTATGATGTAGTAGTATGTGGTCAGTTTGACTTGTTGTAAATGTTATGAGTAATCTATACTGATATAAGTAGTATGCGTGTGCTTATTATTATTGTATTTAATAATAATAACAACAAAAATTAATCAACTTCCATCTTTAAACACGTTTTCAATGTGTCAATATGTATTTTATTTTTTTTTTTCGGAAAAAATGCTTTGTTTAAAGTACTTAAAAGTAAAACAAGAAATGGTTGTTTTAAACAATGAAACATTGGTCAATTGTAAAATTGAATTTAAATTGAGGAACCATTGAAAATTAGCGGGTGTTCAAGTGAGAAGACTGGAGATTAAAGAAGCTTGATCATAGTGAATGTCAGATAAATATGATCATTGACAATTGAACATGGTCATGTAATAGCGCGCAACTTGATTTCGTTTGAACATGTTCTATAGACTGAGCACTCTCAAATAGAGATTTGAATCCGATCTATGCAAAAAATATCATGATGTAGGATGTAACAGCTATACAATAATGCTCACTGGTTTCCAATATTCACTTTATTTTTAGAAGAAATCTGATAGATTTCAGATGGTATCGCCGCACTCACTCAGCTGAATGATTTATTCACTAAAGTGATTATTAGACAGCATCATAAGGGTTGTCTATTTGAAATAAACTCTGGTATTATGATAATTTCTTTTTATCTGAAATGTTGATTAGATCATCACAAAGATAATGGGATGACCTTGCACAAGCCGAATAACTCATCGTAAATATGTATTTTTTTTTACCAAAGAAATCTATTGTTTACTTTTTTTTTCCCTCTCTCTAAAATCCAGGCATCTATCGATTTATCATGGAACATTTCCCATATTATCGTGATAATCGTCAAGGTTGGCAAAATTCCATTCGGCATAATTTAAGTTTAAATGATTGTTTTATTAAACTGCCACGTGATAAAAGTCGACCAGGCAAAGGTAATTATTGGACATTATCAACTAGTGCTGATGAAATGTTTGAACATGGAAATTATCGGTAAGAATGAATGATTATTGATTATTTTACTTTTTTTTTCTATGTTAAAAATTTGATTGATTGATTGATTGATTAAAATTGTACCATTGAATTCTAACTGTAGTAGTTGTAAATGGTTAGGGTAGTATATGACGAGGAGTTGGTGAAATTCATTACTGATGGTAGTGTTATGCTTGCCATCGGTTGATATGTTTGAAACTATTACGAGTTCAACTTAGTAGCAAAGACAAACGATCAAGTGACACTGTGGTGTGTGCTACTTACACGAACGATATAAGTAGTATAAGAAGGGACGTGATAGGAGAAGTTGAACGGTCAGAAGAGGAAAACGGAAAACAAATGGAGCAAAAGCAAGAAGTAAATGGAGTACCAACAGGATGTAAAGGAAGCAACAGCAGGAATGGAAGGAGGATGGAGCGTTGGAAGTCACGACTCAAAGAACGTGTGCAAATAGAGTATTCCATGTAATGTTTTCGTTTTTAACTAACTCAGAGTGTAAAATTGCCTCAGTCTTCTCAACACGATAGGCTACTCTAATTCGAGTGTCTCAAGGCTCCCCCACTAAGTAGAGGAGGAAGTCTTGACAAGAGAAGTAGAAAGTGTATTCTACAAGAATCCGGAAAAATATGAAGTCGACAAGCACACAAATCGAGTTTATTTATACAAGATAGAAACGTCCTTGGGAGAGCCACAAAAATAGCGTACTGAAATAACACATCAACCAATGACAGTCAAGGATTTGACGGGTGTGAAATGTAATCTCAAGGTTAACCGATCGGCGCATGTGCAAAAGCATACAATCCAAAATTGGGACCTTTATCAAGTGAGTTCTGTAGATCTAACGTCACCCAACAGGGAAGTAAGAGATAATGTATAAACTCATTGATGATGTGTTATATATCAAGACTGAATAGCTTGCAGCTATCCAATGACTTCTTGGTTTCTAATAGTATGCTGAATGAAATCAGTCTTTGATGGATATAACCTACGGATTTTGACTTTTATTCTTGATAGAAATGAAGTTGTACGTTTCTATTATAACTCAGTTTACGTTTTTTTTCAAACGTAATTTCAGGTGTAATTTTATTTACTTACTGTGATTACAGTTACTAATGAAACTAAGCGATGTCAGTTTCGCTTACTTACTCACTCAATTACTTACTTACTTACTTACTTAATTAGGCACTTACTTACTTACTTACTTACTTACTTACTTACTTACTCACTTACTCGCATCGGTGACTTCTTTTAGGACACAGGTCACTAAATACAGATCCTGAACTAAATCTCTTTCCTTTCCAAATACTATTCACTAACTTGATATCCACCAGCGATTACCAGAACTCTTTCTCTCTCGATTCCCTTCGTCTTGAGAATTTGAAGTTAAGGTTTATTATGTAGCGAATTTTTCGGTGACTTCTGTAACATCTGTCACATCCATCTTTAGCATCGTTGCTCAACTTCCGCTTGAATAGTAGTTAGTTTGTTTTGTACTAAAGTAGATTGTTGTTGGTTTTGTCTGGCCAACAGATCTGAAGGATCTTGTGTACACAACTGTATATAACTAACTTTACCTTTGTGATGATGTCGTGATAGTTTTCCTAGTCTAAGCACGATATCATATAGACAGGTGTTTTTCAAAAGATTGTCTTAAAATTCTGACTTTGTTGTTAGTTGACGATTCTTCTGAGTTCCGGATATTCTCCAACTTTATGACTGCTGTCCTTATTTTGCCATTGTACACGCCATCATATCTGCCCTTGCTTTTTGATGATTCTGCCCAGTTGTATAGAGGTTTCCAGCTTTTCCAGAGCTTCTTCATCAAGTGTGATTTGATTATTGTTTTCTGTGTTATACTTTAAGACCTTTCTTTCTTGCAAATGTTGAGTAACACTGCTGGCCGCCTTTGTTTGCATCAGTTCTTGTATATCAGTTAGAATAGCAACATCTCAATCGTTTAGGTGCATTCAAGCCGTCCGATGGATTTTGTGCTTCTCTAGTTATAAATAAAACATTCTATAATCACGTTGTTTACAACAACAACGCAGGCAAACACTCTGGTATGGCCGAGAGCAGGAAGAGTCCGGTATCCCTTTCGAAATCCTCTCAAATGAACATGCGTATGATTATGAGCAGAGAGATTCCTCTCTCCGAATGCTCTCCTATGACTAGTAGTACATAGCCATTGTCAGGAAATTCCTAGTGATTGTATTTACTCAAAGATGTTGTTCATAGAATTTAGAAGACGAATTTTCATAAAATCTAACTTTCAATTATCAGATCTGTAAATGAGTACAATGTTAATTCTTACGCACTATTAATGTTCAGTAAAATAAAGTCGTTTCATTTTAATATCAATCTCATTCAGTGTATCATATCACATGAATCATCACAATAATTTTAAATTTAAAATCCTTTTTTTGTCAAATTTCCCGCATTTTTCATTCAATTTTCACTTATGCTAAAACTCGTGAAGCTTGATCTTTCAATAAGTATAATGTGAAACATTTGTCTTCATATTACTTTTTGTGAAAGTATATCAAACCTTCATCAATAATATTTCATGTTTATAAACCTCACTTTCATTGTGGGCATTTTTATAACTTGCTGTACCGAATACTTTAAAACTAAAAACTAAACTAAATACTTCATTTAGAGTTATGAAGATTGATGTTTATCACTGACATCATGAATGAATCACTGTTAGACCACCATAAGAGACTTCGGGGCACTCGACGGCCATTTCGTCTTGGTATGGGACTCACCAGTGACAGTACGCATCAAAGTTATACACGAACATCGTTAAATACCGTCCGGCTCAGTGGTCCAGAGGTAAGACGTTCGCACGCAAGACCGAAGTACATAGCTTTCAATCGTACAAGTAGCAGGAGTCAATTATACACACTGCCGACGAATCCCATACCAGAATGAAACGACCATCCATTGCTTCTGTGGTTTCGAATAGTGATTTAACAATGATCGATTCATGACGTCAATAAGAAACTAAACTCATTAG